ATGTAAGCAGTTCTATATTAACATTAATTAGCAGCAGTAGCCTGGAAATGCTTAGCGTAACACTGGGAATCACAAATGGCACTGTGTATCTTTTTCCTCCAATATGAGCAGTCGAGAATCATGCATAATGTAAAAGCGTAGATTGCAGCTGGTAGCCGCAGGCTGGATCACAGGAGATGATTTCAACTTGTTTTTATGATCAGGAAGAACTACCTTTCAATCAGCCGCCAAAGCAAACACTTGCCCCAGCCCTGGGGAGGGAGGATTCAGAATCATAGCACATAACAATAAATAAAGAGCCTGCTCAGAGGCCCCAGCACTAGCTCTTTACTTATGTTCAGGGTGTATTTATAGAGTCTAGAAGGAGTGCAGGCGGTGGTGGCAACGTGAGGCAGGTGCCACCTGAGCAGACAGGAGGCTGATGGAGACACAGGAAAGGAGCCCAGGCCCAGAACAAGCAGCGTGTCACTGGGGCAGCAACTGGTCAGCCCAGAGACACCATCCTGGGCATGCCACCTCCTAACCTCCAGATTGCTCAGATCGGAAACAGGGGCCACCTAGAAGCAAAGCCTATTTAATGGTCTTGGCACACCTGATAATAGAGCTTCACCAGTGAGCTGGATCAAGGAGAAGTGGAAAAGTCCCAGCAGGATTACCCGTTGAGCCTGATGCTCTGTTGCCTGCCTTTGCTGACATCTTCTGTGGTCTTTGCAACAGCTGTATTGAGACAGAAAACAGCCCCTACACAATTCATTCATTTAAAGTGCCTAATTCAGTGGATTTGGTATATTGCAATATATTATTTTTCAATTGTGAAATATATATAACAAAATTTTCCATTTTAAACATCTTTAGTAGGATACTCTTTTATTTCAGTGAAGTCTACATAATATAAAATTTACCCTCTTGATCATGTCCAGGTGAACAATTCTATGGCATGAGGGACATTCATACTGTCGTAAGCTGTCTCTACCCCCCATCTCCAGAATTTTTCCATCTTCCCAAACTGAAACTCTATACCCATTAGACAACAGTTCCCTGTTCCCTTCTCCCCCAGCTGCAGCTAATGTAATTTCTGTCTCTATGAATTTGTTTTATCTAGATATTTCATACATGGAATTGTGCATTTATCTCCCTGTGGTTTATTTCACTTAATGTAATGTCTTCGAGGCTCATCTGTGTACTAACATTAATCCATGAATTAGAATTTCATCTTTTGTAGCTGAATGATATTCTACCCCACATATACACCAAATTTTGTTTATCCATTCATTTGCAGAGACACTTCAGTTGTTTCCACCAGTTAAAACTATTGCAAATAATGTCATGAACATTGGCCTATGAGTACCTATTCCAGTGCCTCCTTTCACTTTTCTTGGGTACAGATAGGGGTGGATTTACTGAGTCATATGGCAGTTCTGATTAGCTTTTTAAGGAACCATCAAAAAGGTTCCCCAAAGTAGCAATTTATATTTGTACCTGTGATACCTGAGGGTCTTCATTCCTTGGCATCCTTGCCCCTTCTTAATTTCCACCTTTTTAGGGATTTTTACAGCCATGTTAGTAGGTGTAACATGGTACTTTTGATTTGCATTTCCCCAATGATGAATGAGTGAGTATCTTTCCATGTGCTTCTTGGCCATTGTGTATCTTCTTTGGAGAAATGTCATATAGGGCTGCCATAACAAAGTGCCAAAGATTAGGTAGCTTACGATCGAAATTTTTTTTCTCACAGTTCTGGAGGTTACAAGTCCTAAATCAAGGGGTCAGCAGGGCTGGTTTTTATGAGGCCATTCTCCTTGACATATGAATGGTGTCTTCTCCTTGTGACTCACACTGTCTTTCTTTCTTTCTTTTTCTTTTTTTTTTTTTTTTTTTTTTTTGGTGTTGGGGATCAAAACCAGGGCCTTACCCATGCCAGGCAAGCATCTACTCCTGAAGCATTATAGCTCCAGCTATTCCTCTTTATAGGAATTCTGACCCTGGAAAAGTACAGGGAAGCATTCCCCAGGTGCAAACCCCCAGAGGGTAACAGGCACCCTGTTTCCCACCCTTAGAATGCCCTGCAATCTCTCTTAGGATCTAGTCATACAGCTAATATATGAGCAATGTATAGCTGGTATGGCAATGCCCTGAGAAGCCTCCGTGTTAGATCCTCATCAAGCCTCGACCTTGATTGCAGGTACATAGCAATCCCTGGGAATAAGGGAACTTGTTTGGTAGCTAACTACAATGTTTCATCAAGCTCTGGTGCTCCTGGAGCTGCCCGCCTAACAGTAACTTCAGACAATGGACCTTCTTGAGAGCCTCAAAAAGCTCCTGACATGCATATTGTAACAGTAAAATGTAACTACTAAGTAAGCAACCTTACTGATTCTCTAAACAATAATATAGTTGTGGTACTAATGTAACCTATTGGTATAAATAAACGTGGCTGCTTGGACAAAGAGCCACTCTGCCACCTTTCCTGCCTCTGCACCTCGTCTCTGGGTCTCCCTTTATTATTTCCTTGTGCCTCTTCTTAGGAGAACACCAGTTATATTGGATTAGGGCTCATTCAAAAACTTAATTACCTCTTTCAAGATCCTATCTCCAAATACAATCACATTCTGATGTACAAAAGGTTGGGACTTCAAACTACAAATTTTGAGAGGACACATTCAATTGATAAATGTTGATTCAAGACCTTTGCCTATTCTCTAGATTGGGTTGTAATCATTACAAGTTTTGATATTGAGTGTGTGGGCTTAGTCTGCATTTTGAAGCAGTAGATGTGTATAGGTAGAATAAGAAAGAGGAATGTCTTTACTGGGTCTTTAATCTCAGAATGTTTCACTTGATCAGTTCTAAGCAAAGTCACTGTTCCAAAAAATATATGTCCCTATACGACCCCATCCCCCTCCCCATGTAGGCCCAACCATATTACCTTCCATTAAAATAGCATAATAGAAGTCGTTAGAGGTAAACAAGAAGTCACTATATTATGCCTAACCACAGTAACTCATTTTTTAAATGTCTGTAAATTACTTCGAGGTGAGCATCATTTCTTCCTCAACTTTGAGTTGGATTCCAGTTCATAAAAAAATGAATTGTATGTCTACATTAGTGAACACAGTAGCCCACATGCTAGGTTTCATAATCCCTATAATCCCAGAGATGAGGAAATTGGAACTCAAGGGGGTCAAGTGACTTGCCCAAATTTATGCCCCAAGTGGCAGAAGGAAGAGATCTGTCCATCTCTTCCTTCCACCATACTTTGGTTCCTTTCTCTGTACATGTGGAAATGAGATAATGTGCTCCACAAGTAAATGGAGTCTTCATTCCAGTCAGATTCCTGAATGAGCTGAGTTCACCCCCCACAGCTGGATACTTATCATTTACAGGGTGTCAAATGATCATTGTGTGTCTCCATTAAAGAATTTTCTTTCTCCCTTCCCAGGATCACTTTGTATCTTAGACCTCTCTAAAATTAAGGGAGATCACATCTTTGGCTTAGGCCTCGCTGACCAAAAGCTTTCAAAGAGCAATAGTTGCCAGACTTAGGTGCCACTCTAAAGCACTTGCCCAGTTTGTATGAGGCCCTGGGTTTGGTCCCCAGCACTACTGGGGCAGGGGAGAGGGGCAAAGGGTCCTGAATAAGGTCATGCTGTTTAGTGAAAAACAGACCACTGACTTTAGTGTCTGGGAAAACAAACAGCTTTAATCAGAGCAAATCTCTGCATACTGCTTCATTTTTACACATTCACTAATGAGAATCCTCTTAGCGTTGATAATATAAGTCAAAATCATTGTCTGAACTAAGGCTTTCTAATGTCAATCAAAAATAAGTGATGTGTTTTAATTTCTTATGCACATATGAATTAAATATTTATTACATTCCTAAGCCAGAACTCTCTCACTCAGTCAATATGTTCCATTCATGATAATTGTAATAAAGACATGGGATTTTTTAAAAAAGGCAATGAGATAAAGGGGCAAAGGGTAATGAGATGTAAGTCTCGACATACCAAGAAATTGAAAACAGTTAACGATTATTCTACTCTTGTTAATTCTCTATGCAAAACGGTGATAACAACATTGACAAATTATCCACACTGGTTTCAGCCCTCTGCTGGCGGATCATTTTCTGTTTTTGCAAACATCCAAAGAGGCTTTGGCTCTTCTTGATAATGTATAAAAAAGCTTTTGCAGGCAAATTGTAGCCAACCCCACAGGCAGTGCCAAAAACTACTGCACAAAGGGTAGGTCTCTGGCCTTATTTCTCTCCTGATAGAAACCTGGGCCATGGTGAATCCAATCATCTCTCTTACCTCATTTTCTGAGGTTTAATGAGCAGTCTTTCTCCACCAACATTAATCATCAGTTAACAACATTGTTAAACAAGAAATTCTAAGGCATTTTGCAAAAACCACACAATCTCCCCTCCCTGAGATAATTATAGTTGAAGAAGGACATACAGAACCACATGGGTACTTGTTTAACAAGCATTATTTGTACATTCCAATTTTTTCGGTGGCAAAGAAAATAATTGCCCATGTAGAACATGTCAGTGAAACTCTTGGTTCACAAAGAGCAATCTGACCAAGGCTGTTCCAGAACACCTTTTTACAGTCACGTGTTATTTTATTTTTTGTTTTATGTTTTGTTCTCAACACACTAGTTGCTCTGTGGGACATGTTATGAAGACACATTAGGCCCTGAATGGTTGGGCACGTACTCTGTGGATGGTTTTAATGCAAAAATCATATAGTTTATTAAAATCTTGCAGTTTGTAGTTTCTACAGCTCTTCTGGTAGGGACTCTCTGAGTGGGCTCAATAAGCCATGTGGTTAGGCTTATGTCTCTGATCAGCTGAACTCCATCTCACAGTGCATGACTCAAAGCCTGGCTTCATGTGTGATCCCACCCAACCAGTGCTGTACAGGTAAATGTTCAAGAATCAGCTCTACAAATATGTATGTAAGTTTGTTCTCAAGTTTACTGAAATAAAAAGTCTGAGTCACAAAATTTACAAATTATAAAAAAAAGTGTACAATATTGTAAACTATAAATCAATACAGCCAATAGATTCTCACGAAACGCACTCCTTGATTTTTGTCAAGCTCTTGTGTCCGCACCAGATCTATGAGTGTAGTTTTAGTAAGAATGTTGGTAGATGTTTTGTTGAACTTGATGAGCTGGGTAAAGGTGAAACCATGAAGATAATGTCAGAGCATCACTTGATCCTCATGATGTCAGCAACTTCTTTGCTGATTTACATAATAGTATTTCAATGCTGGAAGAATATTTCCTCACATTTTTGACCATTCAGAATATAATGGTCACAGACACAACAATATTTTAAATTTAATCTGGATTAACATTTTCTCCATTTCATTCTTAAATCTAGACCCTCATCAGAACAATAAACCAAGCCCTTTGATCTGTAGCAGTTGTCAGTTTCCGTGACTTAAATATTCCCACCATGGTTGGCTACAAGATGCCAAAGTGATGTCATAGAATATGAACTTGGGAAGAGAGGCACAGGAGTGACCCATTACATACTATCTGCATCATACAAACACAATACATGCAAATAACTTCAAAAGGTCAACTGATAAATAAGTTGGAAATGCTAAGTTTGACTACTTTTAATATAATTCAATTACACATGTATACAACTTAACCAAGCTGCTGTGTTTAAAGAAAAAAAAAATCCTAAACATTTATCAATTCTTGCAAGCTGGTAGGAGTCAGCTCCAGCACACCACTGCACCCAAACCATAAAAGTTCAAATTATACCACGGATATTCGGAAAAGGTTTCAACTGCAGGCAGTAGGTAATGACAACTAGCAGCTAGTATGTAGCTCTAGGAAGGCAAGGATCTTTGTTAATTGATGTTTTTAAGGGATTTAAAACAGTGGCTAACAGATTATAGGCACTCAACAAACATCCGCAAATTTAATTCATTGAAATGTGGCATTTAGTTATCATACATATTAAGGAATCTGAACACCGTGGTTTTAGAGCTGATCCCAAGAGGACACTGGGTCAACCACTCCGTGAGGAGCTTGACTTTTTCCTTTTATCTGTAAAGTGGCTGCTAACATCAGCCCCAAACATCAGAACCTCCAGCACAACATTTAGGGAATGAAAATGTCTCCCTCATGCTTTTCTGTTTTCTTTGGTAGTTAGAAGAGGGTCATCTACATAGGCCAGGAACCCTCCTTTCTAGACCCTGGGATGGGAGAAAGTCAAAGAAAAAGTGCTGGGTGTCCGTACTACAGTCAGATTTCCTTACAAACAGGATAAATGAATGCTAGGAATCCAGTGGCACAAGTATTTATTTTAGTTCAAGTATCTTTTTCCATCTGAATAAAATAAAAAGTATGATTCTGACATTTTCTATTCTTATTAATCTCCTTAAAGATAAATCTATGATGGTTCTTCCTCACTACCAATAATTACCTTTAGAAGGAAATCTAGAAAGACAAAGTATCTGTGTACTACTTGACTAAACAAGATCTATATCAGATCTTTGCAGTCAGATTCTTAGTGCAACAAACATAATTACAAAAAGAAAAATGGGAATTTAAACAGCTTTCGGAGGCATATTTTTTCTGCACTTTGATCCACGTTGAATGTTGTTGTTGAAAAGAACTGAAACCCATTCACACACAATCACCTTCAAATACGCCATTCTACCTCTTCCACCCAATACTCAAGAGTCCAGGAAATAAACGCAGCTTGCTCTGGCCTCCAAAGGCTGTTGGCCAGGATTCTGGTCACTGAGAAAGATTCTTTCCCATCTCACCGTCCGGACATGTCTCTGGCAGCGAGAACCCCTGTGATCAGAAAAAAGCCAGCAAGTAAATGTCAGAAATGGCTGTGACTGGGGTTGACTCTTCAGAGAAAGAAGTCAGAGGCCATAGAACCACAAATGGACCCTAGAGATGACCTTCTTTCTGCCAAAACTCCAAGATCAATTTAGAAATGTTTTTGTACAGAGGTGAGGAAGGTTTTCTTTATTCATATAGAATCTACCTTTTCCAAGCCTAATGTAACCATAAGACTCCCTTCCCCTTTTTCTGAAATGGAAACCTGAAAAAAATATATATTTAATTGTAATAAAATACATTTAACATAAAATTTGCCCTCTTAAATCATTTTTAGTGTGCACTGACATTTAGCGTTCTACTCACATTGTTGTTCATCAGCCTCCAGATTGTGTTCATATTGCAAAACTGAAACTCTGTCAGATGCTAACTCCCTGTTTCCCTCCCCCTGAGCCAACCACTGCTCTACTGTCCCCATGAATTCCACTACTCGAGATATTTAATAGAAGTGAAGTCGTGTAACATATATCTTTCTGTGACTGGCTCATTTCACTCAGCCTCTTGTCCACAAGGTCATCGGTGATGCAGCACCTGTCGGAATTTCCTTCCTCTCTAAGGCTGAATGGTGATCCATCACACAGATGCACCCCATTTGGCTTATCCACTCATTCACCGATGGACACTTGAGTTGTTTCTGCTTCTTGGCTACTGTGAGTAATGCTTCTAGGAACCCCGGTGTACAAATATCTTTTCAGAACCCTGCTTTTCATTTTTTTTTCAATATGCACTCAGAAGTGGAATTATAAATCCTATGGTAATTCTATTTCTAATCTTTTAGGAACTGTTTTCCGTGGTAGCTGCATGGTTTTACATTCCCACTCACAGAAAACAAAGATAGAATCCCTTTTCAAAAATGCTTACCAATATGGAACTGAGTTTGAGAAACACCAGTCTGGTCCAAATCCATTATTTTGCAAATAAATGAATGGACGCCCAAGAGGTAAGGGACTTGTGTAATATCACACAGCTCTTCTTTGGTGAGTCAGCCAGGAGTCTGATGAATGATGGAGAGAATTTAATGCAGGGATTATTTGCAGAGGTATGAGCATCTTGAAGACACGCAGGAAGAGGAGCAGTGAGGAGCTGTCACCACCCGTTGACCTACAGGAGAAGAGACACAAATGGCTAATTGAACACAGAAAACCTGGAGTCAGGAGGGCACCCTGCCCAGCAAGCACTGCACCTATCAGGCAGGTGGCCACCAAGAGTGACGGTATGGAAGGAATAGAGGAAGAAATACCCCAAACACTCTCCCCTTCCGCCCACTGATCTCTCACCAGTTGCCCCCATTAGCCAAACCCAACTAGGAGCCAGAAGGCAGTAGTCTTGTATGTAGGGGTAAATCCCCAGGGCCCAGAGGAGAGCACAGCCGGTAAGGAAGAAAGAGGAAGAGAGAGAATGAGTCCTGGGCAGGCAATCCATGGTGTCTGACATGGGAGCTGTCTGTAGGTGGTTTTCTACACTGTACATTGTAGAAAATTGAAACTTTAGAATGTTCAGAATATTCGGGAAAAAAAAGGAAAACAAAAGAACTACCAAAAACCTCACCACTTGCATATAACAGATATGGGTGTTAACATATTTGTTTCCAGTGTATACCGTGGAAAGATAATTTATAAAGATATTAAGTTGGGTTTGTTCTCACTGCTGCACAGTGGCAGACCCAGAGGCTATACAAAAGAGGAACAAAGGGCTTAAAGGAAGCCTAGCAATGAATCTTGGAGAACACTTCCTCAGCAAGCACAGAGGGGGATTAGATCGTCTGTTTACTTGGGGACCTCTCTGGGGCTGCTGATGGAGACTGGAGGCTTGTCTGGAAGCTGCTTAATTGTTGATTATGATAGGTTTCAGGAGGAAGGTAATGTCTATGGAAGGCAAAATCTCCCTCACTCAAGCCCCTCCTTGGCAATGCTGTAGATCTGATGTGAGAGTTCTTAGGGAGGGAGAAAATATATTTCGCAGGTGAAAAGAAGGTGAACTATTGTGGCCAAAGGGCAGCCTTTGCCAGATTGTGTCTTCCAGAGGGCATCCCAAGTGCTTTTCTGGCTGTGCTACTTTACACTCCTCCCATGGTGGTGGGGTGTCTGGGGGAACCTTAAACAGGATGTGAGGAGGTCCAGTACACAGCCCCTATGGTGGAGGAGGCTTCAGAAAGGACACTGAGACATTTAGGCTAATAACCAAACTGACCATGAAAGCCATTTGTGGTTTTGGTTGGATTTTTCCTTGCCCGCTCCAAGAAAGCTTTTGTTCAGCTAGAGGCAGTCAACTCTTTGGAACCCTATCACTCTTTTGGAGGTTACCTCCTAAGGATGGAAAGGAGAAAAAATACGGCATTTGGGGGAAAGCAGGGGCCACAGAAAGAATGAAAAGGAATCAATAAGGAGAATCCCCTAAATTAGCAAATGAAAGTGGGGTGTATGCAAAAGCTTACAGCCCACCACCACATCCCTCATAATGACCAAGGAAGGTGGTTAGATCTCAGGGGTTGCTGAGAACTGCCAGTTGTGCCTACAGAGATTGAGCCCTGGCACAGGGTACATCAATGTCTACAATTTCTGTACTTATTGGGGTACAGAAGCAGTAGAACCTGCAATAGGCCTTGACAGTGGACTTCTCAGGGGTAAGCACGGATCAGCTCCCAGGATAACTATTCCTGCACATGATCCCCACCCCCAACCCCCGAACACACAACTCGTTTTGCAATGGTGGAAAATGGTGAAATGCTTTCCATGTAGGATGGAGGCCTGACAGACATCTCATAACACATTGCCAATTTCCTCTCCCTGAAATGCATAGAACTCATTAGAAAGATATAAAAAATGAAACACTTAAGGGCAAATTCATGATTAGAAAGAAAGCAAACAGGATGAACCAGAAACTACACAGAATCCCTCAACGTTAGAAAGCAGGCAAGAATCAATGAAAGAGGGAAAACCACCGCCCAAGGATGACTGTGGGAGGATTCTGCGGCAAGCTCAGGGGTGCACCAGAGCAGCAGGCTGGATCCAGAAGGAGGAGGAGAATCTCTGGGGGCCAAGGTGAGAACAGCAGGCCAGTAGCCCCTGGGCAGAGCCTGCAGCACTTCTCAGGGATGTAAGGGTGTGTGGACAGGGCTCTGGGAGCAAGAGACACAGGGCAGTGTCCTGGACATGCCTTGAAGATGTGCAACTTCACAGATCCATACACTCAAGCTGGTGTGAAGCATGAGCTACAGTGACAGTTCCCCTCCCCTCCCTAATCCAGCTGCATAAATCCCTGTAACATCACCTAGCAGGGAATCTTAACACTAATGGACATAGTCAGACTTAAATGTGTAAGGAGAGCCAGCACCATATGGTAGGAAAAAAAGAAAAAATTAAATTTCAACCAATGGAACAGATTGGTGCATAGAAGGGATTCTTCTTTAAAAATATATAATAAGTGTCTTTAAAGATTTAAGGAAATAATGTGGGCAATCACAAGAATAGACAGAAAGAACCAATCGAAATTAGTGGGCATTAATTTTTTAATGGTTAAAATTGAAAGCTCAACATTTCTGTGGAAAAACAGAAATGCCTCAGCTGAGGATCAAATCAATTAGAAAATGGAGGCATGGAATTTGCTCAAAAGGACCAGAAATTTAAAAATTATAGAGCAAATGTAGTTCTAGCATCCACATACCAAGAATTACAAAAGAAGGGCCTAAAGAAAAATGAAAAGTAAATGAAACTTAAAGAAATAATTGGACGTGTCCAAAGCTCAAGTGATACATTGGGTCTCTGAAAGAAGCCATCAGTACCCAGCAGGATTAAAAAATATATTACTAATTATTCAGACAAAATCAAGAATTAAAAAAACATCCATTTCCACATGGCTTAAACATTAGGGCCAAGGACAAAGGCCACCTATTTCAACATGCCTTAATTATTTGCTCTTAGAAATCCTTTCCCAGAAAGATAAACCCATAAGTCAACAAATAACTGCTGTTGGTTTCAGGAAATTCCTGCAAACCAATTTGTCTGAGCAAATAGTTTGTGCATCTAGACAAATAATTTCCCTCGAAGGACAATGATGCTTTCATCTGGGCAAAAAGATCATTTATCAAAAGGTTTGCATGTCAATATTTGCTTGGTGCACCTCGCTTCACTGGGTCCTCCAAACCCAAACTTTGAATTATAAATTTTGCCCTATCCCCTGGACTTCCCCCACCAGGACAGGCTTGTCTGAAGCTCCAGGTGTCCTGACCCAGCACCCCTAAACATCCCCCCCAGAGACCCCAGCTAAGATTCTCTCAAGGTGATGGTATCCCTGCTGCAGGAAGTTTAGTAAACGTAGCTTTGCCTTATCAAAAGGTTGGTTTTTGATAGACATTTGGAGGAGCTGACAGTTGAAAATCCATAAAGAAATTTCATCACAAAAATTTAAAAAAAAAAAAATTCTAAAACCTTCCAGGAAGGAATACACTGTTTATCTACAAAAGAAAAAAGAATCAGACAGACCTCAAGCTTCTTGAAAACAGCAGCAGATACAGGAAGAACTTGGAGCAAGTATTTTCCATATCTAAGAAAAATAACTTTGAACCTAAAACTTTATACCCAGACACAAACTACATGGTTAAACGGGTCAGCAAAAACTAGCCAGTGGACCAGCATGCTGCTTTTACAAATAAGATTGTGTTGGAACACAGTCATGTCCATTCATTCATCTGCTTTGGTGAACTGTGGTTGTTTGGGGGTTTCATCCACACAGCTGAGACCACATGGCTCAAAATATTTACTACTGGGGTCATTTTTAAAAAGCTTGCTGACATCTGCTTTATCTTATTTTTTTTACATCCGCTTTAAAATAAAGACATTTATATATGTGTGTGTGTATATGTATATATACACACACACTAGTGTGTACATATACCACACACACACACACACACATATAAGTGTGTATATATACATATTCTCATAAAATTTGCCACACAATGGTGGTGGTAAATCCCTGTGAGAATTAAGGGTAGAGGTAAAAGAGGAAGAAAGAGGTGAGATGTATAAGACAATGAGTCACACAATAGCAAAAAACTTACAATTGCATTAAGATAAATATTAAATATTTAAAATTTAAATTAAATCATCCACAGAGGCAAGTGAGAGGAACTCAGAGGGCAATAGAGTTCTCAGGCTGAGGAGGAAAGAGAGGAAAGATAATTCCAGATGATGCTATTCATTCTAGATAATAATGGACTCCAGACAATATTCAGTATTTACAGGTAAGCATTAGAAGATTAGATGTAAAATGTGTAAACTCTCAGACTTATAAGAGAAAATTTTAAACGAAGGGCTGACCGACCCAGTGAAAGGTACTGGGAGGATAGGAGAACGAAGTTCAGAAGGCAGGAATCAGTCCATAGCAGCGAACTGAATAGATGTGGCTAAAGTACATGTTTTTTTGGTTCACTCAACGTCATGTTTAGTTCATTCAAACTTTGTGGCAGGCCTTATTAAAGGCAGTAGGAACCCAGTAATTAATGGTTCCTGTGAAGTTTACACTTCAGTAAAGAAACAAATCAAATGCCAATGGTCGTATAATGTAATTTCAGCCACAGGTGCCATTCTACAAAGAAAAAAAGCAGGATAAAGGGCAGACATATGATGTGGGTTGGTTGACCTGGAGGCTACTGCAACATGTTAAAGGGGCTGAGATTGGGGGAGTATTTGTGGAAACAAGCCACACATTCTGGAACTGGAGGATATTTTTAGGAGAAGGATGACAAGATTTGCTGTTGGAAACTACGAGAGGTGAAGGAGCATTCAGGTTAAACCAGCATTGAAGGAGATCAGATTATGCCTCCCCAAATACGGCACTTTGGCATAAAGATTATTTTGAGCTAAAAGCAATTGAGAATCAACAGACACAGGAAGAGTTCTCTTTATCTACCAAAAAGCAGGACATACATTTTCCTTCAAAAAAGGTGAGCCCAGATCCGGAAGAAGAGCGAAACCTGTCAGCAGACCCAGAGAGCTGTCCCGAGTAAATACGCCTCAATAAAATAACTTCCCTTCCATTAGTTCCCTCCACTCCATGTGTATCTTAGTCATCTCCCCACAATGTGTTGTCTCTTAAAGCTC